CACGGAGATCCTGTTCCCCAAGTACTTTTTTTTTTAATGTGAGCAACCAAAAACAAAAAACCCTCATATGATAACTTAGTGTTACTAAGTCTCCCAGCATGCCTGAGGCATTGATTCATTAGAATTATCTTTGTGTACAGAGGCTAATTTGATGAACAGTTTTCAAATTAGCCTCTGCTTTCATCTGGACTCACCAATGTGGGATAAAATCAAGCTAGCGGAGGAATTTTTTTCTGTTTATAAAATTAATACACGGTTAGTGTAGACATTCATAATATAGGAAAATTGTAAAAGAAAAAAATAAAATCATTCTCATTCCCATGACTTAGGAATGACCGCCATTAACTCTGGCATATTTCCTGTTTAAACAACGATTTCAGCCAGGTGAGGGCTACTCCTCAGTCTTTGGCTAATACAATATTTTATTTCACTTCTCATCATATACCTTTTCAATGTACATTATATTCTCAGTGCATTTGAAAATGTCATTGTTTATACAGGCCCTCTTGTGTGTCCATGGTATTCCATGGGCGTTTTGATCGTAAGCCACCTCAGGGTGCTGAGGCTCAGCTCCGAGGTGGCAGTGTCCCCCACCTCTTGTCCCTGTGCACGCCGTGTTTAATGTTCCCTCTGTTTGTTTTCATTTTCCACGCCCTCCTTCGCACTTGGCATTGCTCTGTGGGTGGGCATTTGGGTTGTTCCCAGGACTCGGCTGTTAGTAAGCTGTGCCGCTGAAGACATGGGGGCGCGCATGTCATGGTGGTGTGATGGGCTTGTGTCATGCAGCGACTAGAAATGAACGATATCTTCTCCCCTTCGCAGCCGGGGTGACGTGCTCGAGTGAACAGCTGACCTGCTCCAGTGGCCAGTGCATCCCCCAAGTGTACAGGTGCGACCATGTGCAGGACTGCGACGACGGCACCGACGAGAGAGACTGCCGTGAGTAGTCCATCCAACTCCTCCCCTGCGCTTCTGCTGCACCCTTCCTAATTTTAACAGTTAGATTTGTAGGTGGGAGGAAACCTCTCTGCTATGTCTCTTGCCGAAATCACTTGTCAGTTTCGTCTCAGGGGTGATGTTCTGATAGGAGTCTGTTGGAAATAGGATGCTCTAAGTTTGTCCTGCCTTGGTGTATCAAGGCTTTTGGATGCAGGACCTCAGGTTGGCCTTGAACAGTTACAGGCGTGCGCCCCCATGCCTGGCTTGTACATGGTGTATCTTGATTTTACTTCCTTTCCCCATGCCCCTCCCCTCCCATTAAACCCTCTTCGCCTCTTTATTTACAAAAAGCTTTATTTATACTTTATCTTTCTTTTATCATTTTTTCTTTTCTCTTCCTTCTTTCTTCCCTCTTCCTAGTTCCTCTTTGCAACTATTTCACAATTTCAGTTTTATGTTTTGGTTCTTATTTACACTTTTGATTTCCCACACCAGAGAAACCATGTGATATTTACACATGTGTGTTCAACTTATTTCACTTAGTATGGTCTCAAGGTCCATTCATTTAGCTATAAATTTCTCAAGTTTATCCTTCTTTATGGCTGTGTAGTACTCCATTGTATAAATAAACCACATCTTCTTCATTTATTCATTGGTTGATGAGCATTTGCATTGTTGCCAAGATTTAACTCTTACAAACCATGCCTCTATAAATATGGGTACACATATCTTGCTGTGGTATGATGTTCTCAGTTTTTCTGAAAAAATACCCAGAAAGGGATGAGCTGGGTCAAATGGCTCCTGTAATCCCAGTTTTATGAGGAATGTCCACACTGATTTTCACAGTGGTTGCACCAGTCTCCACTTCCACCAACAGAAGAACAGGGTTCCTTTTTCCTTACAATCCTACCAGCATTTGTTATTGGCCGAGGACTTGCTAACACCTGTTCTTTCTGAAGTGAGATTGAATCTCAGTGTTGTTTTAATTTCCATCTCTTCAATCACTAATGATGTTTTTTAAAAATTAATTTTATTGAGAAATAGCAATGAGATAGTTTCAAAACAGGTTAGTAGGAGAGTTACAATAATTAATACATTGCATATTGTTATCTTCATACTAGTTATTCATAGTACAAGGTGCAGACATGATATCCTGTCTAAACACTATTAGTTCAAAACTTTCTTCTCATTGAATTAAGAGAAAGTAGCTATATATCTACCCTATTTTGTATATCCAGATACAAAATGGTCCTTCCTTTATATCCCCTTTTTTTGTTTAGTTTTGTCAGAGATGAGTATTCCATTGCCATTTAAGTATTGTAGGTACGTGAATTCAGCAAAGTAATCCAATATTATCCAGTAGTCCATAATAGTAGTGAGTTATCCATAGGACTGGCAATGTCAGAAGTTGTGGACTTGAGCTTTTTCCAGCTCAGCATATTAATGTGGCTTTACTTTTTATACCTTGTTTTTATGCTTTTCTGCTGGATGGTTAAGACCAAGATAAAGCAAGACCTATGTAACAAGAAATGTAACTTTCGTGTCTGACAAGGCCAGTCAAATCCCTTCAGGATTTGCCCTGAAACCCTGTACCTCAGTTTGTAGATCCTTTCAGTGTCAGCCATGTAGGTGAGTCATGGCCATTACTTGACCAGTTTGTTCTCTGATTTCCTAATGATGTTAAATTTTTTTCATATATTTATTTACTGTTTGTATGAAGTAAGAAATGTTAACATTAACATAGATGCCCCAAACATATATGGAGTATAAAATCCAGTTTGGTCAGTTTTTAACTCTTTTTTTAAAAAATGTATTTGGTACAGGGTCTTACTATGCAACTCAGACTTGTAGTGATCCTCCTGTATCAGCCTCTCCAGCCCTGGAATTATAGGTGTGTGCCACCAAGCGCAGTCTTGGTGGCTCAGCGTGCCCAGGAATGGGGCCGCAGGTGATGCTGGGGATTGAACCTGGTCCCTGCACTTGTTTGTGTAGGCACTTGGTCTGCTGAGCTATCTTGCCAGCCCAGTTTTTAAATTTTATTACACTGCCGTGGCGAACTTTTAGGTAAGATTTCTCACTAGTTTTTCTGTTCTGGTGGACTGAACATTTTCCAGACTACTCTGGCAAATTTATTTTTAAAATGACTTTCCTGCTCAGTGCAGTGACCCATGCCTATAAGGCTAGCACTCTGGGAGGCTAAGGCAGGAGGATTGCAATTTCGAGCCCAGTGAGACCCTGTTTCAGAGGGGGTTGGGGGCCCTGAGGATGCAGCGCAGTGTGAAGGTCCTGGGTTCAGCTGTCAGTTTTGAAGAAAATTAGCACAACCAAAATAAGAAAGTAGAGTCCTGTTTTCCATTATGTACTGAAAAAGAGGAGTAATCTGCCTTTCTCAAGGTTTATCTAAAACGTAGGATACAATGAAATTAGCTATTTTGTCAGTCTTATAGTCCAGCTAATTCTGTCTTTAATCTTAGAAACAGCAGTTTATATTAAAGGTGTACCATTTGTGTTCTTAGCTAGTCTATATTTTTTCCTGATATTATTTTTAGGGTACTACTGTTTATCCTATTATTATTACTTACTTATTTCTGTTACTGAGAATCAAACTCAGGACCTCACAGTTGCCAGGTAGACGCTGTGCCACTGAACTGTATCCCTAGCCCTAGGATACTTCTATATATATATATATATTTTTTTAAATTTTATTTATGTGTGTGTGTGTGTGTGTGTGTGTGTGGCCAGCTCAGCCCACCAGGGGGCGGGACTGGCTGGCATGTGGTGCTGGGGATCGAACCGCGGTCCCTGTGCTTTGCCAAGCTTGTTCCAAGTAGGTGCCTTAGACCACTGAGCCATCTCACCAGCCCAGTTCTATATTTTATAAGTTTACTATGTATTTTATCTAGATACTTCCTTTTTTGCTCTTAAATTTGTATTTAAAGCTTCAAAAAAGTTAGTCCAATATTCCAGTTACTAGACTTTGTGTACTTAGAAATGTTGTGATTAAAAGATAATATAGCTTACTGACGCAAGATTTAAATTTTAAAGGCCATAGATATGGTTCAGCGGCACAAGTGCCTGCCTGACATGTGCAAGGTCCTGAGTTCAATTCCTGATACCAGAAAACAAAATAAACAAAAACCCAGAAAATTAAAAAACAGATTTATGGTTTAGTCTATTTTCATGGGATTCTTCCTCTGATGTTTGATAATTTTGATTTAATTTATACTTTTGGATCTTCTCTAAATTTATTTCTTTCAGTCAAGTGGTATATTTTATGCCTCTTGCTGAAAACATTTTTGCTTTTTTTTTCTGGTATCAGGAATTGAACTTAGGACCTTGTGCTTGCCAGGCAGGCACTTATGCCGCTGAGCCATATCCCATGCCCTGTTTTTGTTTTTTTGAGACAAGGTCTTGCTGTGTAGGTCAGGCTGGTCTTGAACTCACCATGCTGCCCAGGAGACCCGTGAACTTGCAGTGATCCTCTTGCCTCACATTCCTGAGTGTTGGGATGATAGCGTGCACCACACGCCCGGCTCTGCATCAGGACCTGATGTAACTTGCATCCTAAATATTCTCTTTTGAGAGGTGGTGGCGTCTTCAGTTTGGGTTGCCCTTCACTTTGGAAATTAGGCCAAGAACTGAGACTTGACACTGGCCGTTTTAGAGATGGTGGTGTTTCTGCCAGGTCCAGCAAGCTGGGGTGTCAGGGCATCCCACTGTGTGAAGCAAATGCTAGGTCCTTCTTGGAGGCATATGCAAATATTTTAATAAATATGAGAAAATCATATTGCATTTTATACATTCCAGAACATAAACAAATTCTAGTTATGTTCCTTAGTAGCAATAAGGCCAGCGTTATCATACTTTCTTACAATTAAAGAAACTGAAATTCTCAGAGAGGGCAGCTTGGCTTGTGTAGGGCAGCGTCTGTGGGCGGAGGGCTCTTCACCGAGGACAGAGTCCTACCTAGGTGAGTATCAGAGCCCGGAGGCTGGTGTGCCCTCCAGCAGTCTGCGTCTTTTTCCCCTTATGTACAAGCAATAAAAGGAGTGCTCCTTATTGTAAATGCAGTGGGACTGAAGGAAAGGCTGCTAGGGGAAGCATAAAAGGCAGCCCAAGTAGACTGCTTGGATTTTTTTCCCGGTGCACAGCCCACAGCCAAGCCTAAGGCTGGCAGTCCAGGTGCTCCAGCCCTGCCGAGGGACCTTCCCGACTCAGCTGGCCTGAGACCAGCAGGCGAGCAGCTGTGATTGGACAGAAGGTGGAGAAGGAAGCGCATCCTCATAGAACATCTCAACAAGTTTTAATACAAGCAAGTGTGAAATAAGGATTCCCTAGGAGAGAGATTGGATTTTATAGTTCATGTTTCTGGAGTTTTGTGATGAAATGTTCTTACTTATTTTCTTCTTCCTTGCTACTGGTTTCTATGTTTTATTTATGGAGGGATATTAAAAAAAAAAAAATCTTGCAAACTCCTGGGCTTGTTGACGCATGCTGAGAATTCCAGCTCTTGGGCACCTGAGGTAGGAGGCTCATGGAGTTGAAGGCCATCCTGGATTACATAGTGAGTTCAAGGCCAGCTTGAACCATATATAGAGAGGTCTGTCTCAAAAAAAAAAAAAAAAACAAAAAAAAACCCAAAAAACTTCGCTCTGCTTTTCCTTCCCCTCCCCGCCTTCCCTGTCTGTCCTTTCTCTTTCCTGTCTCTCCCCTTCCTGTCCTCCTCCCTCTTTCCTCTCCCATCCTCCTCCCCTCCCATCATGAGGTCCCTCTCCCTCATTAGTAGCCATTGATGATTACTGTGGAGGTCCACTTGGTGGTGCTGAGACCCACAGGACTGAGACTTAACCAGGAGACTGTGCTTCGTTCTCTTTCTACAGTGTTAATGCATTGTAGGTATTACTTGTGGACAACCTGAGAATCAGCCTGTGAATATAACTTGTCTCACTTTCTTAGAAATAAGATCATTGATAGCAATGGGTCTTAATATAAGGGGCACC